AGGTTATGAAATGGCGGCGTCGCGGAAGAATGCGAAAGCAGTTCCCGCGACGCCGTCGGTTCAAAACTGCAAAAAAAAAAAAAGGTTAGGTTAGGTTAGGTTAGGTTAGGTTAGGTTTGGTATAAGCAACACAATCATAATTTACATTAAATTACATTTTAATATGAAAAAATGTGTAGGTACAACAATTATTTTTATATATTCATACATTTATTTTTATTTATAGTTATTTATGAATTGAAACATGTTATACTTATGAGTTATAAGTCATAAAAAAATATAGTAAACAAAATATTTTTCATTAAAAATTCTAATTTCAAATTTGTCACTTATTTTTACTAATAATAAAATAGTATACTATTTATAATACTTTAAATCTAACATTAAATCACTTTTATTTTTATTTTTATTTAATTTATCTTAGTTACAAATGTCCATTTTTATGTATTATTAATTATTATTATATCCAAACCGGAGCAAACCCGTCCGGGAACCCGGGAGAAGAATTGTCCAAAACAATATTTTTTCAACCCGGACTCGGCACGGACGCTCGGTCTCAGCCCGGCCCGGACAAGTGTGAACTGTCAGATATAAAATCAATAAGATAATATTTTTCTAAAACCCGGACGGGCTCCGGCCCGGACACGGCCCGGACCAGAGGGAATCGACCTTAATACGAAAGTATATCTTTTGATTATTCGTTGCAAACTTGCAAACAATCCGTTATCGTTGTTTTTATATAGATGAGGTGTCATTATTAATGGAGAAATGTATTATCTGATTAAGATAGCGAATGTCACATAGACAGTGTGTGAGCCACGGTTATTTACTAGTAGACTAGTAGACTAGAGTAGATAACCGTGGTGTGAGCAGTGCTAAGAGTCGTATATATTTATATAGCCGATTTTCATATGGCAAAATTTGGCAACGTTGCGCGGAAAAATAAAAACTGAGTGTTCTCAATCGTAATAGTCAAAAGGGCCTAAACAATTTATCGCCAATAATGACCGTTCTCAATCGTATTCCTGCCATCTCCGCTTATCGATGAGTGTCATGGGCCAAACACCTAAACCCCATATTGCATATATTATATTATAATGTATACTATATTGTCTATATTACTATATATATAAGTAGTTTTTGAAAATGTCATGAAATTTAAAAAAATGAAATATTTCAGTATTTTAATAAATTTTGTTTTTTTTTAAATAAGTTTTATTTTTATGTATGTAGTTGTCATAATTTACTTTTATAATTTTATAGTACTGAAACCAATCACTAATTACCCATTACCTACTCATTAGTGATGGTTTTTTTGGTATTACACATTTAAAATAGTATTCAACATTTTTAAATTGATAAAAAAACATACGAAAATGTTTAAATGATACTATATGTCTATATTAAGTATACCGAATGCTTACATTAGTGTACCATATACTTATATAAAATTAAATACTTATTATAGATTTATATATACAAATATAAATATGGTATGCAGGTACATTAACATCACTGTCCAAAAGTTTATTCGATAGTTGATAAGAAGAAGGTAATATATAAGCTGGCCATATTTTTCCAAACAGTTTCTTCCACGGTCTTAGAAGATAAGGTCGGACAACTATACATTATCAGCATTCCGCTTAGTGAGGCAAATCCATTTCCAAATTTTGCCGCTGTACAATTAAGCGCTGCCCTGCAGACATATTTTGAGGTTATGTCATTTTACTAGTTTAAAATAACGATGTACCAAAGCACGGTCTTAGAAGATGAGATATCTAAGATAAGATAAGATATCTTCTAAGGCCGTGTACCAAAGTATTATATTTGGTATATAGGATAGTCCAATAGTCCACGAAAAATGAAAATTACTTCGAGATACATATTCAGGTATGAGGGATCTATTGACTACTACTTACCTAATGTTGTTGTTATTACTTTATGTAAAATACTTAAATACTGAAGTCTCAATAAATTGTAATTCGCGAATTCATATTCCGCCCTACAACAGTACAACCATGAACCATTGCTAAAATAGATCTGTCTATGGAAGTGTCTATACTATAGGTAAGTCATAAGATCTATGATATTCACAGTTTACATATTATTTTAAATTATTCAAATTCAATAGTTATTAAATTTTTTCCTAAGTGAATTATCAAAATATTCATCCAAAGAGTGTGTAACAAGTTTTGTATTTGAAAAATATTTATTTTTAATATAGGTATATTTTAAGTTTTTGAGAATTTGGCAATTTTTTTTTTATTTCTATTATCTTTCTTTTTTTTCTTATTTTCTTGTTGTGAAAATTGCCTCATTCTCATTCTAATGTAATACATTACAGTAAATGAAATTACATCCCCTACATGACTTGAACATGGGAAATTAATTGTACTTTCAGACATCAAATCTGTGATTATGAGTTCGTATACGTGCGTGGATGAAGAATGCTGAATAAAACTATTTTCAATTTTTTTGATGAAATCGAAAAAGAATATGTTTGGGTGTATCAATCGTCCCTTGGTTTTCATGTTAACTAATGCAGCACACATTTGTTCAGAATAAACTTGAGGTGTTACAAACGCTGACTTACAAGTATTGCAATCGCCAATGTATTTCAACATTTGTTTATTTAGTTCATTTCTTTTTTTGTAATAATGACAATTTTTTTTTACTTTTAGGTGTCATTTTTAATGTAACTCGTTTTGGTGAAGATTGTGCAACTAATCGAGCTGAACATTGCTTCAGCATCTTTCTAGTTCTTGCACAAGGAAAACAATGATATCCATGTGGAATTATTATGGAACAATTGGAATTTCTTTTGTGTAACAAAGTATCAACTATAATATTATCATTATTTGTAGCTAAAGATGAACTGCTCCTACATCATAAAATATATTAAGTAATGCATTTGATGATTCATTTATAATATTAATTACTTTTTGTCATTTAAGAAGTCTAAACCTCTACAAATTTTTATTGTTGCTGCTTCTTTAATGACATTTTCCAAATGTTGTTGACTTATCACTTCATCTAAGGAATTTTGAAACTTTTCTGCATTAATATTCTTCCCCAATATATTGCATGTTATTTTCAAATCCTTTTCAATAATTATATTTTTACGTAAAAATGAATTTATGTTTTCTCCGTTTTTTATAAAAATTATTTCCGAAATTCCTACTACGGTTTTATCATTAGACAAATATTTATGCCAATTTGGAGGCAACGTTAACTCCCAAAGTTGTATTGTGTTATAAACAATCTATTAACATATCAAAACAGTACTTGTTATATATTGTAAATGAGCAACAAAATTGTTCTTTTTATTGAAAAATATATTTATGTTTTTGAGTTTTGTGATTATATATTATATTGTTATTAATTATTTTACTTACTTCCTCATTGTTTGAAAAAACATTAAAATCCAAAATATTTGTAACACTAGAAGTGTTGATCACATAATCATGATCAACCATATTTTCTACAACTTCCATGTCATTAACTAATTCGTTTTCATCATTAATATTTTTTTCTTTGGCGAGTTCCTATACAAATTAATTTAATGTTTGTTTGTAAATAAATAATTACCAAACTCACTTCAACATCAGAAAAAACAGTTTCTTTTGTACTAGAAGTACACTGTGTACTAGTTAATTCATCAATCTACAATTGATAAAGATAAGGTTAGAAATTGGAAAAAGTATAAAAAAAATAGCAGATTCATAGAAAATTTACTTGACAGTTTTCATGATTATCATCAAATTTTAATCTTTTTCGGGATGATAATAAATGTGGTATTGCATTTGACTTCAAACTAGGTCTTAATCGTGGAGCCTAAATATAAATATATAACTTGCAGTGGTTATAATTGCAATAAGAAGTATAAAATACTAACAAAATTCACATTTTATGTAAAGAAATAAGTATTACTATAATTTTTAAAATAAATGATTAATATAAATCCAAAATACTATCAATACAGAATTGTTAATTTTTTATGTACTGTCTAACTTGCTAAGCCAGAGCAAAATGCAACTAGACGTTTAGACTTTAGGTGGTATTATACATGTATACCCCATAATATTATATACCATATACAGTTTCATACCAAGTTAATAATATTTATTTATATATTATTAGTGCTTGGATTGGTGGGAGTCTCATGGGATTAGATCACAGCATAGATTAAATCTATTCTGTGGTTAGGGTACCCATTCGTTTTTTTAAAAATGCTAAGCGTACACATTATAATTATATCAATCCACTAGACATTTAAATCTACAGGTACTCAAGTCTCAAATTGTTTTTATACTTTTGCATTTTTAATTATAACTAAATGGTGATTTAGTCACAGGTAACAAAAATAATACAAGTACAAAAAAATTACTGGTAGATGCCATTGACATAACCACAGTCTTAGGAGATATCGTCGTCTAAGACTGTGGGCATAACCATAGACGAGAGCCCACAGGCATTATCCACTTCCTAAGTGTCTATCCAGACCCAGTGGCGCCGATCCCTATACCCAAGTATGGCGACTGCCATAGTGAATTATGTGGTGGGTGGGTGGGTACTGGGTGGGTGACACATAGCCCATATGTAAATATTATGAAAGTATTTAAGTCTAAAACTATATAATATTTAACATAATTACATAAAAACACATCTGTTGTAAATGATACGCCGATTACGTCGATACGAGCCTGCCATAGTCCGTAGACCGTAATAGCAACGCAGATAACGATAATGCGGTGTGCTGTAAAAACCAAAATATGTCTATTTTTGGATTGTATTGTAAATGGTATGGTGATATCCACTGGCTGGTCGTTTGGCTACGCCGCTACGGTCGTCACTCGACATGATCATCAGTATCCACTATCAATAATAATTTTCGAAAAATGTTCATTGTCCATTAACGATTGACAATTGTTCTTTGTTCACTGACACAGTTCTTAAACGTGATTTTTCTTATTTGTTACCATTTGTAATAAATAATAATTATGGATTCTACTTCTACAAAACTTAATATTTGTCATTGCGGCAAAAATATGAGAAGCTTAAATTCACATAATTATAGGCTGCACGTTAAATCATGCAAGCAACACAAATTGTCTGAGACTAGTGTCAAAATCAGTACCTTTTTTAAGGTGAAAACTGTGAAATGTAAGTATAATTTTTATTTATTTATTAAATACACTTAAATTTTCTGTGAAAAAGTTGTTCCTTTTTTATAATTTTTCTATTAAATTTCTTATACTTTTCTTAACATATTTTAAGTGTAGCTTTTTGAATTTTGCCATCTTGCCATCCCTATTGTTATGCCACCGATGCCATCATTTTCTAGAGATGATTATTATTATTTTGATAAATTTTAAGATATTTAAGGTACCTACAGGTAATGACATTATTGAGAATTTGTGAATAGTGTAACAAATATGTTTTGAAATGTTAGTTGGTCTTACTGCAATAAAATAATGTTTAAAATCTCTAACCAAAAATATCAGCAAATATATCAGATATAGGTATAAGATCAAAAATATATTATGAACTGAAATATATTGAATTTATATTATTTAGATTAAACAGTTATTGAACTTTTTGATTAGCCTTCAAATTATTTAAACAATATAACAAGTAAAATAATCTTATAGGTACCTACATAATCATTGACAATCTGGGCTCAAAGGGAAAAAATTTCAGAGGGGACTAATGTCCAAATTTGTTAAAGATGATGCTTATTAACTGTCGTCAGAGGAAGGGAGACTGAGTCCCCCTGTGTCCCACATCCCACTTTAACCTCTGTTGACAATAGTAATTTATAATTATATATTAATGATAGGTAAATGATAATTATGATACAAATATCTTGTACTAGAAATACAAATTAAAACAAATCTGTATTTATAAAAATATGATAATAATTTGTTGTATGAATAGATGCAACTAATGTGACTGATGAAACTGTACTCGATGAACATGATTGTTCTTCAATGAATATTAAAACAGCTAACGATGTAGAAGCTATAACATTAATACCATCAAGTTCAACTTTGGGTAAGTACAATTAAATTTAATCATATTAAATTATATTTTAAAAAGGCAAGTAAAATATATTATTTTTCATGGATAGATACACCTAATGTGATTGAAGACACTGTACTGGATGAACACGATTGTTCCTTAATGGATCAAAATATTGAAACAGCTAATGATGTAGAAGCTTTAACATTAATACCACCTAGTTCATCTTTGGGTAAGTACAATTTAATTTAATCAAATCAAATATATTTTAAAAAGGCATTTAAAATATATAATTTTTTTTCATGAATAGATACACCTAATGTGATTGATGACACTGTACTGGATGAACACAATTGTTCCTCAATGGATCAGCATATTGAAACAGCTAATGATGTAGAAGCTATAACATTTATACCATCTAGTTCAACTTTGGGTAAGTACAATTAAATTTAATCATATTAAATTATATTTTAAAAAGGCAAGTAAAATATATTATTTTTCATGGATAGATACACCTAATGTGATTGATGACACTGTACTGGATGTACACGATTGTTCCTCAATGGATCAAAATATTGAAACAGCTAATGATGTAGAAGCTTTAACATTAATACCACCTAGTTCATCTTTGGGTAAGTACAATTTAATTTAATCAAATCAAATATATTTTAAAAAGGCATTTAAAATATATAATTTTTTTTCATGAATAGATACACCTAATGTGATTGATGACACTGTATTGGATGAACATGATTGTTCCTCAATGGATCAAAATATTGAAACAGCCAACAAAACTTTATCATTAATATCATCTGGTTCATCTTCCGGTAAATTTAATTTAATTTGATCTAAATAAGCAGTAGACACATCTTTCATCTGTATTATATACATATCTACTAAGCCGAGAACATTTTTATGAAATTATCTATTTAATTTTTGTTTTATTAGATAACAGACTGACAAATGATCCTGGAATAATTGTCAAAATGAAAAACTTAGGACCAGAAATGAAGAAGTTGATTATAAACATAGGTCCTTGTCAACCAACTAAAGATGATTTTCCTGCTAAAACTTTTCCAATCGATAGAAATGGCCGTAGTTTCAAAGATTTGTGGTATTTTCGTTTATTAACCGACGGAACTAAAGTACTTAGAGACTGGTTAACATATTCAGTAAGTCTTGATAAAGTTTATTGTTTACACTGCTTTTTGTTTGGAATAAATTTACATGATAAATTGGCCAAATCTTGGACCCAGGCTGGCTTTTCTACTTGGAAAAATGGAATTTTTGCAATACAAAATCATGAATGTGCTCCCGATCATATTTTATCATCCTTAAAATTTAAACTTAGAGAAACCAATGCTCCAATTTTACCAGCTCTAGAACACACAAGAAAATTTCAAGTTGCTTATAACAGACAAGTGGTTTTAGAGCTAATAGAGATAGTACATTTTCTTGCTCTCCATAATTTGGCATTCCGAGGTCATCGTGAACAATGGGCAAATACTATTAAAGGCAACTTCAAAGATTTAGTTATTTTAATGGCAAAAAATTCCACTGTCCTCTTTGAACATATTTCAAAAATTAAAAATGCAGGTAAACATCAAATATCGTTTTTATCATGGCAAAGACAAAATCAATTATTAGAAGCTATAGCTGAAAATATTTCTACTAAAATTGTTTATGAGGTTCAAACTACTCACATGTTTAGTATATCTATTGATTCAACTTTTGACGAATCTAAAAGAGAACAAGTGTCTTTTGTAATACGATACATAGATGAAGAAAATGGAGCCGTAAAAGAAAGATTGCTTGCTCTAAAAGAATCACCTTATACTACAGGAAAAGTATTATTTGATTTATTTAAAGATGTAATGGAGACTAATAATCTTAACTGGAATAATAAATTAATTGGCCAGTCGTACGATGGTGCCAGTAATATGAGGGGCAACTATAAAGGTCTTCAAGCACGCATTACAAATGACTGCCCTCATGCATTGTTCATTTGGTGCCACGCGCATAGATTGAACCTTGTTGTGAAGCAAGCAGTTTCATGTAATATTGATGCAGTTGATATGTTTGGAAGCTTGGAAACATTATACGCTTTTGTATGGACTTCAAAAAAGAGAGTTGCTATATTTCGGAATAATCAGTCAAAAAGAAATTATGGAACACAATTACATGCAATAAAAAGAGTAAGCACTACTAGGTGGATGTCCCATGCAGCAGCTCTTGATACAGTATTGTCATTTTTTGAAACTATTATTGACACATTGATTAACATTCGTGATTTAGAAGGTCCCAGTGATTCAAAAACTGGATCGACTGCAAGTGGCTTAATTTTATACTTTTTATCCTACAAATTTTTAATAACTGCATTTACATTTAAGGAATTATTTGATATACTTGGACCTATTAATAAAATACTTCAAACTCAAGATTTCGATGTCATTACTGCAACAGCAATAATAAATCAAACTAAACCTAGGGTTAAAAATATGCGTGAAGATAGTGCGTTTGAAAAAATAAACATTAAAGTCGATAATTTTATTAGTGACTTGGAGTATGAAATTGAACCGCTAAAAAATAAACGGTTAAAAAGAGTTCCAAAAAAGTCTGGAGAACTGAGCATTGATGAACCTATAGTTGAACCTATAAAAAAATTCAGAATAGAAACTTATAACACACTCTTTGATGTTACACTTACTGAAATTAATAGTCGTTTTAATGTCATTAGTTGTGGTGTGTTGAACGATTTATCACTTTTGACTGAGAAAAGGATAATGGAAGTAAGAGAAAGAAATGTTTTACCAGATGACTCATTTTTAGTATTTTGTCAAGTATATAATAAATTTGTTGATAGAAATGCTTTAATATCAGAATACTTACAATTTGTTGTTAATTATAAAGAAATTGAATCTACAATTAAACTCAAATCAAATTTACACACAATCATCAATGACAATGATTTAGACGAAGATGGGAATTCAGGCGATGAGAATTATATAGATTTTAGTTTATATGACGAAGAAGAAGATCAAACATCAAATTGCTCAAAACAGAATTTAGCCAGTGTTGGAAAATTATTTAAACTTTTCTGTACAGCATCACTTCAAAATGTTTTTCCAAATTTATATTTAACATTGAAAATAACTGTTACACTTCCCGTATCTAGTTGTACAGTTGAGAGATCATTTTCTAAACTAAAATTAATAAAAACTAAGCTTCGTACAACTATGTGTCAAGACAGATTGGAGCAAATGGTCAAAATAAGTTGCGAACCTGATATATCTCTTGATAAAGATAAAATAATAGATATATTTGCAAGCAAGTCAACGCCACTCACTAAATTATTAATTATTTAAATAATTTTTATAAACTATTATATTTTGTAAATGTTACAAATTTTAACTATTATATTACATTTTCACTTTACTTACACATAAAATAAGTTTATTAAGAGTTGTAAAAAAAACTAATTTCATATACTATTCTTTACTATGTACCTATGTATTTGAAATATTAATCTATGCTTATCTGTATAAAATTTCAAAAATCAGAAATCCACAAGTTGTTCTTAAATAAATAATTTAAATTCTAAAATGTAAACATAAGTACATAACAAATGAAAGCAGCCTATTAAAAAAATAGCCTATTAAATAATACCTACAACTCATCAGTATGAGCTGTTTGATATATTTTAATATTAATATCAATAATAGTTGTGTACATGGAATTTTTATTGTTGGAGGGACATGGAAATAAATATTATGTAGACTCAACATTTTGCTTAAAATAATTATGTGAACACCTATATCTTAAATTATTGATAATTCACAATATGAAAATAGATGTAATGTATATTATGTATTAATATAAATTATGAATACAATATGATGGTAGGGTTTCAGCCCCCCCCCCCCTGTGTACACCTATTAGTTGGTGGGTAGGTACTATTAAAATTTGATATTCGCCATACTGCATTTTTTGTAGTTCGGCGCCACTGTCCAGACCTGCACGTCAAATATAGGTACTTACTGAACAAATAACATTTCCTAATCCGTCAACAATATCCTTCGTTCTAATTATTAGGTCATCCCGAAAATGTTTTTCACAAATAACCTCGATAGGGCTAAAATAATCTATCCCTAAAGATTGTAACCATTTCTCCTTTAAATGTTTATCTTTAGGGATATTAAAAACTGAGAGTTTCTCAGAGGTGTTACAATGAAAGTAACAAATTTTATTTCTCATTTTCAAAATATAATACTAACTAAATTAATAGAAATTAAAAACATAAATCGAACATCTATAGAAAAGGTTTATAGTTGCCACTAGACAAATAGACAATAGACAACATTACGCAGTTTGTATTGTTTGTATCAAACTATGTTAGAATTATCGATTATTATAAATCGATATAACACAAATAAACAATACTATTATATAATAAAGTATAAACTTATCTCAATTGTTAGGCGGGCCGATCGGTAAACACCGGTTCCTTAATTTCCTAACCTCAAAATACGTCTACCCGGCAGCGCTTTTGCGGCAACTTGGGAAATGTTTTTGCCTCATTAAGCGGATATTTTGTAATAGGCGGGAGGGTGAGAAGTTGTCCGACCTTATCTTCTAAGACCGTGGTTTCTTCCAATAAATATTATCAAGAATTGATAAAGGTGATCCACTTGCATAGATAGCAGTAGTACAGTACCATTCCTGGGACAGCTCCATTTTATAAAAATAAAAGATCGGAAATTGAAATGCAATAATAATTAAAATATTTTCCGCAAAACTTAATTATTAATTATTAAAATCGAAATGAAATAATAATCAAAATATTTTTTAATAGAATTGTTCTATTAAAAATAAAAATCTAAATGCAATATTTCCTAAAAATATTTTTCTAATCTTTTTGATTTTAATTTCTAATTAGTGTATTGAGATGGTTTACAAAATCATTTCTATCTATATTTATTTTATAATGTCCCCAAGCTAATGTATCAAAACCATTTTCCAAAATAAAACCTTTACATGATTTATCAGAAATATTCATTACATAAAAATCATACAGATTATCAACCCATTTGAAATCTCCAGTAGGTAAATATTTACTCATTGCCCACCCATAAAGATTATTTGCATCCAAGTATTCTAAAAATATTGATTCCTCCTTTTTTTTTAAATTTATCTCCCATGTATTTATTATTTGCTTTTGAATATCTTTGACTACATTGAGATAAGCCACTTCTGATTCCAGATTCAAACATCAATATTTGATCTATATCTGTTAATCAATCTAATTTTACTTTTGTCATTCTTAACATACAATCCCATGCAAATCCTGGTGTTGTGTAATACCACATAGGATCTAATTTATATTTTTTTAAAGAAATGTCTCTAAAATTTTCTATTATGTCTGTTGATAATTAAACATCGATCTTATTATATAAACTAGTGAATTCACGCATATTTTGTATATTAAAAACTTTCCAAATTTTCTGTGAGTTTTCATATTCCTCTTTAGTTATATTTTATCAGTGAGAGAACTATACAATTTTTCAATAGGAGGTAAACATGTTTCATAAAATTTTTCTTCACAATCCATATACTCATGGGGATAAGCTAACTTTCTAGTAACTAAATATAAATGTTCTTCAGGAAAATATTTACTAAGTTCTTTAAATTTATTTTTTAAATTTAATTTTGAATCATTTCTTAAATTATTTGTTAATTTTTCTAAAGAACTAGGCAAAAATTTGAATGAATCAATAAATCTTAATTCTGTATATATTACTATGTCTTCACTATTCCTAGTTACTTTACGTGGCATCATTTTTGAAAAAGAAATATATTTTTCCTCATTATTTGCGAGCAATTTTATTCTTTTAGTATCATTCCCAAATTCTTTTATAAATAGATGGGCATCATAACCTGAAAGATTATGAAAAACAATTGGAATAAAACGTGAATTTTGGTAATTAAGATTACAGATAGAATGTGCTGCTCCTCTATATTCTCCAGTTAAGTGGCCATGATCCCGAACTTTTCGCATATTTTTATTTTCTATTTCGTTTTGAAGTTTATCTTCATACAATTTTAATTTTTTAACATCATCAATATTTTCATAATCTTTAATATTGTCTTTAATTATTTTAAGATTATCTTCATACAATTTAAAATTTTTAACAACATCAATATTTTCATAATATTCAATAGCATCTTTAATTTTATTTTTTTCTTCATACAATTTTAATTTTTTAACATGATCAATATTTTCATAATATTCAATAACGATATTAATTATTTTAAGTTTATCTTCATTCAATTTACATTTTTTAACATCATCAATATTTTTATAATGTTCAATAGTGTTTTTAATTATTTTAAGTTTATCTTCATACAATTTAAATTTTTTAACATCATCAGTATTTTTATAATGCTTAATAACGTTTTTAATTATTTTAAATGTTTCTCTAACATTGGAGGTAAATCTGATAAATATCTTTCACAAATATGACATTTATCAGATTTATTATAATAATTATTTAATTGTTCTGCATTCAATGTTTTCATAGGAACTATTTTATCATATATTTTAGAAATAAGTTTTTCTTCATTTTTTATACATTCATAAAATACTTGAGCTACGTTTGGACCAGAATATTTTACAGGAGGTTTATAATCACCATTACTATATTTAATATAATAACAAAAATTATTAGGTATATGTTTCTGATAACAATTTGTGAAAGACTCTCTATCATTTGGTTTACATGCGTAGATTGGTTGAAGTGTAGCTTCAAAGTCAGCAAAAATCACAAAAGGAACTCTTAAGGAATGATTATAATTTTGAAATTCTAAAGTTTTATTATAGGGTTCTGGTAGAACTATTTTAGCAGCTTTATTATTATTACAATAATGTTTATGGTCATTTAACTTATATTCTTTATCAAAACTACTTAAACACATTTTACACCAAAATCTTTTATGACCATCTTTTGTAACTTGACTTCCTACTAGTTTCCATATATCTTTAATCCAACAATAATGTCCTTTATTCATATTATTATCCTTATCATCCACTGTTAAATATAATAAATCTATATGATTAGTTTTTTTCGATTTTAGTTATTTCTAAAGGTACAATTACATTTTTATCTAAACAACAAATATTAATAGAAATATTTTTTGTTCTTTTAACAAATTTCGGAACGTCTGTGGATTTTACCGGAAATTCAATATCTTTAAATTCTTTATCAAATTAATTTTTAATAGGAATATATTTAGTTAAGCTTTCTCCATGTTCTTCAACAGGATTTAAAGCAGAGAGTATTGCCCAAAGAAAACATTTATCATTTTTATTTTTAACATTTTTAATAGCATGTTTATCTTTAATATGTTTAGGTAATGGAATATATGAAGAACCTTTAAAAGGAACATATTTATTTATATTTATTCAAAACTTAAAATTTGATGAAGTATCCATTGAAAATCTTTGTTTATAAAATCTTCTTCTTCATTTACAATTTTAATTTTTGCTTTTGTATAAAATTCATTTAAGTTAGAATTTTTTGTTTTAAAATTTTTTTCCATATATTCCATATTTCCTTCATCATTACCTCTCTTATATACATATAGCAAGAAACCGAATATTTACTTTTAAGTTTGTTTTTTTTAATTCTTGTTTAAGTCGTCCCATTACTGGATTATCTAAACGATTTAAAAATGTTTGTATATCTTTAATACCCATATTATTTTTAATAATATAAGTTTTTAATCTATCTTGAAATGCTGTTTCTTCATTTTTTAAAATAGGTCGAATAGTGTTGTTTTTTTCAAACATTTTTGCATTAAAATTGAAAACTCTATGTGGTTTGGGTATTATCTCTATTGATATTCTTGGTCTTATACCATTGTTTTGATGTCGAATAGATTGCACATTTTTAGACCAACTGTTGTATGTAACTGTTAAATTACAAATATCACAAGTTATATCTGCAGGTCTTTGTATTCTCTCTTGTCTTGTTCTTATATTTGTTGTTGTTGTACCACTGTATGTTCCTCTAAATCGAGGCATAATTGTTTGATCTGGATCATTGTTTTGATGACGAATAGATTTCAAATGTCTAGACCAATTTTTGTAACTAACTGTTAAGTTACATTTATCACAAGTTTTGTTATCCATTTTATTTATACGTTCCATTTATTATAGAAAATGTTATTTATTTTTTTACATTCAAATTTAAATTCTATTTAAATGATATTAAGACCCCATACTAAATTCACACATTTTAATATTTCCTAAATCTTGAACAATCTTAATATTGTCTAGATAATAGTGATTATAATCACCTGTTGCAAT